GAGAGATTATTAATGGTTGTATCCTCAGTTTTAGAATCACAAGGGTCATAGTCATGAAAGAAGGTTTGGGGGCAAAAAAGAGTGGAATGGCCATAAGAACAAAACAAAATCTAACACCTGAACATGGAAAGGTCTAGATGGAGAATTTCTATCAGCAGTTGAATTGACTAATGTCAGCACTGGTAATCCTGCTTCTAGAATCCCTAGGTATAGGTGGACTTATCATTTCAACGGTTCAATTAGTTAGATCTGTTCTGGTCTTCTGATGGGTATTTTTCTCTTATTTTTAAGTATGTATGGGTATTGCCTTCAGTACCTTTTTTTGTTTTTTGTTTTTTGAGATGGACTCTTGCTTTGTCACCAGGCTGGATAGTGCAGTGGCACGATCTAGGCTCACTGCAACTTCTGCCTACTGGTTCAAGCAATTCTCTGGCCTCAGCCTCCCAGTAACTGGGATTACAGGTGTGCACCACCACATCCAGCTAATTTCTGTATTTTCAGTAGAGACGGAGTTTCACCATGTTGGCCAGGATTGTCTTGATCTCTTGACCTCGTGATCCGCCTGCCTTGGCTTCCCAAAGTGTTGGTATTACAGGTATGAGCCACCGCGCCAGGCTCCTTCAGTACCTTTTCTACTCACACACATGCACAAACACATACATGCATACACATACACTTCACACACACAGACACACATGCACACAAACACACACACAGACACACACCATATTTCAACTTAGTTGTGTGGCGGTACTTAAGATTGATTTGTTTGCCCCATAATTTACAATTGCCTATAAAACATGCCTGGGTAAAGAACACTAAAAGACTGATATTAGCATTTTGGTCTTCAGCACCGACTTGGCACAGCTGATATCACCCTCTTCTTCCCCCCTGCCCTTTGAATGACTCCTGTCCCACTTCAAATGATTAGGCTTCCATCACTGTGTCTTTAGGATCAGTGCTCTGACTTTTTCTCTCAGACTGGGCCTTCTCCCCAACCCAAGGAGGGACCTTAGGATCTGCTCATGAACTTACTCAATGCTCGCTGGCTGAGTATGCCTTGTTCCAGTCTTCTCAATCAATGTGGTCTGTGGTTCTCAGTAGTTAAACAGGTCTTGCCAATATGTGTGGAACATTCTAAAAAAACTTTATCCAGGTTCATCATTCTCAGCAAACTGACAGAAGAGCAGAAGATCAAACACCGCATGTTCTCACTCATAGGCGGGTGTTGAACAATGAGAACACATGGACACAGGGAGGGGAGCACTACACACTGGGGTCAGTTGGGGGGAATAGGGGAGGGACGGTGGGGGGTGGGAAGCTGGGGAGAGATAGCAAGGGGAGAAATGCCAGATGTAGGTGATGGGGAGGAAGGCAGCGAATCACACTGCCACGTGTGTTCCTATGCAACAATTTTGCACGTTCTTCACATGTACCCCAAAACCTAAAATGCAATAAAATAAATAAATGGGGGAAAAAAAAAACAAAAAAACAAAAACAAACAAACAAAAAAAACTTTATCAATGAAATTAACCAAAAGAGCCCCGGAATAATGAGACATCAAGGCCCACACTGTGTGTGCATAGGCTGAGTGGAAGGGAGGGGCATGATGTCAGGTGTGGAGGGTGGGCTCTGTGTAGCGATAATTTCCTCAAAAGCTCCCCATCCTCGATATCTGGTCACCCTTAATAGCTGATCAGATCTCTTATCCTCCACCATTCTCCAAGTGATGTTTGATACCCTGGCCTGTCATCAGCAAGAATACTGTTAGATCAGTTTAGCCAAAATGTCCCCATTGCTGATGCTTCCTTTTAGCAATTTTCCATCCACTGACCCCCACCCTGCTCCTTGGCTGTCAATTCTCACTTGCTTATGCTATATTAGGAGATGAGTCCAGTCTCTCTCTGCCAGTGCAAGACCCTGTTATGGTGGTTCCTTTGCCTACTGCAGTGTTCCTGGGTAAGTCTCCCTTCCCATGCTTTCACAAGTGTCACTGAATAATTATTTTTAACAAGACTATGATGAACTTTTAAGAGCCAAACCCTTGTTTCCCTGATAACATATTATTTCATCAGAAAAATAAACATTAGTAGTCCATTTTAAATGTATCTCAAACCATCAGAAAAGGACTTAACCTTATTGATCTGAGCTACCAGGAAAAAGGAGGGAAGAAAAGTGGATAGGATAGGTCACTCAGTGCAAGCGTTGTCTGGCTGCCACCAATGAGCTAGCTGTACCTGTCTTAGGACAGAGCTATACAAAGGAAGTTAATATTTACCAGTTAAAAGCAAAGTAAAAGAGGAAAGCAGCAATTCAGCCCTAAACAGAATTAAAAGTCAATCATTAGAAATATAGAAAACCCTAGCAATACCATTACAAACAACAACAATAACAATAAATCTTCTATTGTATAATGACACATTGTGCAATAACTAAGAGATAGATTATTTAAAGTCTTCTTGGATGTTGTAAGTTATTTTCAGGACCAAAAAGTAAAAAAACAAAAAACAAAAAACTCCTCTTGCAATTCAAGTTCTGGTATATATTTTGCAAATGCTGGAATGCTCTACGCTTCCTGAAGAGGGGGCTATCCTTATTTTGATCAGTTTAGATTGAATGAAAATTGTCTCTGATGCTGATATAAATCCAGTCTCCCAAATCTTAGGTTCCCCACAATTCTTCAGACATCACCAATAAGAGTCAATGTTTTCACTTGGACATATCTGAGAAGTAGTTTGTCCAAGATTGGGAAACTAGAACTCATCTAAAGAAATTAAATTTTCTTCTATGCTGTTTACATCTAGGCAACAGATCGTGAAGGGAGTGTTGAACTTGTGGTAACTAATGGAGATTATGACTCTCAGGTGAACTCTATTATAGTACTAACTGTATCTTATTCCACTGGCTTTTATTTTATATCTCTCTTTCCCTTCTTTCTTCCTGACTTCCTTTCCTCTTTCCCTCCTTCCCTTCCACTCTGCTATGCTTTTCATACAGACAACAGTTATATTGAATCGGAGGCCCAGTTTATTCCAGTGTGACCTTACTTAACTAGTTACATTCTCAATGACCCTATTTGGTGATGAATTTCTGGGGAAACAAATCAATCCAAATATTGGAGTATCTCAGAGTGTGTCCATACCCAGTGATAACCACAAATGAGTAACAGCAACCACAGTGGACAATGGTATAGTAACCAGAGGCTCAGACACTACTGTCCTTCTTCTTCCTCTCTTCCTCTCCCTCATTCTCCTAGAATTTCTGGCTGTCCATCACAGTTAAGAAGCAAAGATTAAATCTGAGTGGAGCAAACGGCAGATCATAGAGAACGTTTTTCATTATCCTGCCGATATATCTTGGATTTTACTGTGCTTGGGCCATTTTCTATCTGCCAGAATCTGCATCTCTGTGCATAAGGGCTCTTATATTGCAGCTGGAGAAAGTCATGTCACCGGTGCATGCCACACAGAGGAGTATCACTCAACCAATGATTCCTGAGAGCTTATTTACAAAGACTCTAGCTCCCTTATTCCTGAAGTTGGAAAATGCTGATATATGTAATTTTTAAAATCATTTCTGAGAGTTTTCCTTTTGGTTTAAGCTTTAGTTGGTCACTGCGATACTTACTGGCTCAATAGTGTACCCTTTTCTGTATCACTTCCCTGATCCCTACTGGTGTGATCTACACTTCCCAGTAAACTACTTTCACTAGAATGTTCTTCTCAGTGCCTGTTCTGGGAGAAACCACACTATGACATTACATTATCTCTCTCAGCCTCAATTTCCTCATCTCTGAAATGGTAACATTAATATCTACTGTGCACATTTCTTTGAGAATAAAGGTGAATGAACATAAAACATTTAGTCACTATCTATCAAATGGTAGGCAACCCAGAACATGTTGGCTCTTTTTTTGTTCTGAAAACTTTAAAAATGATTTTAATATTGAAGATAAGAATATTATAATAACTAACTAGATCAACTAAATTCTTTCTTTGCTAGTTTTATTGAGATATAATTAACAAATAAAATTTGTGTATATTTAAAAATGTTTTGTTACATATATTCATTGTGAAATAATCACATATTTATTAACTCACATGGTTACCATTTCCTTTTTATTTTTGTGGTGTGAACATTTAAGATCAACTTTTTCAGCAAATTTCAGGTATACAGTAAAGTATTTTATCCACATTAATGTACACCAGATCTGCAGAACTTATTCATCGTATATAACTGATGTTGGCCAAAGATAATGTGATAGTTCTTTGTCTCCTTTACCCCATCACCCAATGACTATTACAGTCAGTGGTTTTTCTCTTTTTCTGGAATTTTCAGAGCATTCCAGATATACACTCTCAAAAGATGGCATCTGTATTTTATAAGGAATAACTTGAGTTTATTTTGCTATGTCGATATGTATTCAAGAGAAGAAGAAGGAGGCCAATATGTAGTCAGGAGAAGAAGAAGAGGAAGAGGAAGAAGAGGAAGAAGAAGAGGAGGAAGAAGAAATAGAGGAAGAAGAAGAAGAAGAGGAGGAGGAGGAGGGGGAGGAGAAGCAGGAGGAGAAGGAGCAGGAGGAGAGGAGGAGGGGAGGAGGAGGGGGAGGAGGGTTGAGGAGGAGGAGAGGAAGAAGAAGAAGGAGAAGAAGAAGGGGAAGGAGGAGGGAAATGTTATCAGCAAATACAGGAGGTTATTCCTCTATTGATGAGTAAAATTAAGTGCATGTCTTGCTAATGCTGAGTCCCAATGTAATTTTTACTTTATTGAGTTAAATGTAAGTGCCCTTGGACAGAAAGAGAGGACGACACCTTGCATCTGAGTCTGTCCATTATTAGCTAAATAACATCACGCATTAAAATTTTCTCAGCTGGAAAGTAAAGGTAGTAAAACATGACTGTCTGTTTTGATAATCAAATTAGGTAACATATACGGTACGCAATATGTGTGTTAACCCCCTATCAGGAATGCTGTAAAATAAATTAAAAAACTCCACAATGTAAGATGAAGAATGGCTTTGAGTTTATTAAGATATATATAGGCAAAAATCCCTCTTTCTAGGGAGATAACCAAAAGAAATCATGAAAAGAAGAAGTATACAAGAGCCATGAGGAGGACATTGAAAATGTAAAAGACTGTAAAGATTATTGATCACTTACAAAAACTAAGTTTCTTAGAGAAAGAGAATGAAGCTTTTGATTTTAGAGTCAAGCTGAGACCATGACTCCAAATTGAAAATACATGAAGCTAGCACATGGTCCAAAAAGTGTAAAGAAAGAGAGAATCAGGCTGAAGTAATCTGCCCTCAATCAAGCTCACTCAGAAAATTTTAAACATGCAGAGAAGTCATAAAAATTAGAGTGAACATGCTGGTTGTCAGCAAAGTTTGAAAGGAAATTTGTCCTCCAAGTGGAGGACAGAAGGTTGCCAGAACATTGTCTTGTGAGGATGATGGTCCTTTTGGGAACTGATCAGCAGCAGCAAGGCTGGCAGCAGCTGGTCACACAGGTGGGCTGGCAGCAGCTGGACACACAGGTGGGCTGGCAGCAGGTGGTCCT